AACAAGATTATACAAGATGCTTTATTTGTGAAACTTACTATTCAATTGGTGCAATTTTCCCAAGATAACGAAATTACGCAAGTTTTATTTGTAATTGGTGCAATTTTCCCAAGACAACGAATTATGCAAGCTTATTTGTGATCCTTACTATTTAGTTGGAATAATTTTCTTATGGCAACAAGATTATACTTACTATTCAATTGGTGCAATTTTCCCAAGATAACGAAATTACGCAAGTTGTATTTGTAATTGGAGCAATTTTCCCAAGACAATGAATTATGCAAGCTATTTGTGAAACTTACTATTCAATTCCCATGGCAACAAGATTATACAAGACGCTTTATTTGTGAATAAGTTTTATTTATAATTGGCGTAATTTTTTCAAGGCAATGAATTATGCAAGCTTATTTGTGATCCTTACTATTTAGGAATGATTTTCTTATGGCAACAAGATTATACAAGATGCTTTATTTGTGAAACTTACTATTTAATTTGTGCAATTTTCTCAAGATAACAAAATTAAGCAAGTTTTATTTGTAATTGGCGCAATTTTCCCAAGACAACGAATTATGCAAGCTTATTTGTGATCTTTACTATTTAGTTGGAATGATTTTCTTATAGCAACAAGATTATACAAGATGCTTTATTATTATTCAATTGGTGCAAATTTCCCAAGATAACGAAATTACGCAAGTTTTATTTGTAATTGGTGCAATTTTCCCAAGACAACGAATTATACAAGCTTATTTGTGAAACTTACTATTCAATTGATATGATTTTCCCATGGCAACAAGATTATACAAGATGTTTATTTGTGAAACTTACTATTCAATTGGTGCAATTTTCCCAAGATAACGAAATTAAGCAAGTTTTATTTGTAATTGGCGCAATTTTCCCAAGGCAATGAATTATGCAAGCTATTTGTGAAACTTACTATTCAATTCCCATGGCAACAAGATTATACAAGACGTGCTTTATTTGTAAAACTTACTATTCAATTGGTGCAATTATCCCAAGATAACGAAATTAATTAAGTTTTATTTGTAATTGGTGTAATTTTTCCAAGTCAACGATATGCAAGCTTATTTATGAAACTTAATAATTTTCCATGGCAACACGATTATAGACACTTTATTTGTGAAACTTACTATTTCAATTGGTGCAATTTTCTCAAGATAACAAGTTTTATTTATAATTGGCACAATTTTTTCAAGGCAACGAATTATGCAAGCTTATTTGTAATCCTTAGTATTTAGTTGGAATAACTTTATAGAAAATTGCAGTACCCGTTGTCAAAACAGGAGGGAACGTGCCCGATCCAAAGTGAATCCCACACGTAGTGTGATCAATTAAAACTGAAATTATTTATATTAGTTTTATAGATCACACAATGTGTGGATTCACTTTGGATCGGGTACGTTCCCTCCTGTTTCTGTTGTCATAGAAAATCAAACTGTATTAAATTATAGTAAGCTTCAGCTTGTATAATCTTTTGCATAATTCTATGTCTTGAGAAAATGCATCAATTACAAATAAAACCTGCGTAATTTCATTATTTTAGGAAATTTGCACCAATTGTAGTAACTTAAATTTTACAAGTAGGATTTAATCAATTAAAATATAGTTAATTTATATTAATTGTATTATAAACGGATCGAGATAATACGTAACTTAGTAACATTAAATTACGTAACTTAGCGGGACTTAACATTAAAAAATATGAGTATCATCAAGCAATTTCGATTTGCCGGCTCCGATTTCTAATAAATTTAAATTAAGCACAACATATATTATAAACAGGTGGTGTGATCAATTAAAACTGAAATTATTTATACAGTCTACCTTCGTTTATATCAACCCATTTGAATTGGTTTAAATTCATGTTGATAGTGATATTAACAAGAGATTATATTAAAGTTGATATATATGAGGGAATTTTAATATGTAGAAATTTGTAAAAATTCATTTTATTGCTTAGGTTGATATTAGTGAGGTTGATATTAACAAGGGTAAACTGTATTAGTTTTATTAACCACACTATATGTGGATTCACTTTGGATCGGGTACGTTCCCTCCTGTTGGTTTGATCTGTAAAATTAATTTCGGAAAACTCACAATTCCCGGTTTTCGCTTGATAACATCCATATTGTTCTTCAAAAACAACTAGATATGTGATTACCATGTTTTTTTGATCTATTAATTTTAAAATTAATTTGTCTGACCGCATTAGTTGTTGGCATGTGATTCCGTAAAATTTATTAGTTCACAATAGAGATGTGGTTGAAACTATACATTTCTTAGTTCAAAGTTTTTTTTTATATTAAATTAAACAAATTTTTCAAAAATAATTAAACATGTTTCCTGATTTTAAGGAACTTATAATTAGTTAACATAGGTATACAATAATATGATAATAAATCTTATAACTGTGAATTTCATATAACTTATGAATACTTAAATGAGTTACTTTAATAAAAAAGAGATTATAATGATGCCAAAAATTAATCTATTCCATGAATTGGAACTACTCAAATTTTATAATCGATATAAGACACTTTGAAATTAAAAGCTTTATAAATTTCTCATATAATTTATATGTTTTCTTTCTTTTGAAATTTGATTCATGTAAGAATCGAAATGAGATACAAATTTTGCCTAATACAGGAAGCCATATCTCTATAGGAATTTTCTCACTTTCAAATCTTGTAACTAAATCAATTATATGATCATAAACTTGCTTATATCGATTTGATTGAGTAGTACTTCTTGTTGGAATAGTTTTTTCGAGTGTTTGTTTTATGTACTTTCTCTTAGCCTCTTTATTTAAATCTTTATTCCTCCTAACTTCTTGAAAAATAAAATATGTTTGGTCAAATAATGCGCTGACCCAAAGCCATTCAGCAGTGCATTTTATTTCATCTGAATAAAGCTTTATACTTTTAAGGTAATTTATCCACTCGTAACTATCAGTTGTATTTGGTTTAACAATATTATTAAAATTCTCATTTGAATTTAATTTGTCAATATAATTGTTAAGCTGTGAATCTATATAAGACTTCGTCTCCTCCTTCTCTTCATCATCCACCATTATTATTTCGACATCCATATGCGCAGAAATATTTATCAATCTATTCAGAAGCTTTTAAAATAAAACTGAAGATTCATTTATAAGCGGTAAGATGAAAAAGAGTACTGGAGTAATTTATTGAAGATTGCAAGATGAAAAAAGAGTAATTTCTAGAAAAATGTCGAATGAAAATCTTTTTAAATATATATAGATATTTATCGATATGTTGTGAAACACAATCTGCATAAGTTTCGATCATAATTAGAGATCGTCTAAAAAGCCAGGTTGTAATTTATATGCGTTACATGATTTTTAATTTACAAATTTGTTAATAATCAATTGAAAAACTACCCGGCTTTAGACGACCTCCATAATTGGTAATTTTTCATCTATTACCGTTACTGAAATTATCAAAAAACCAAAAAATTTATACATCATTTTTTATTTAGCGTGCCTGCGCTGTAACCAATCAGATCATAAGATCAGGTGTAATGTGAAATCGAAAAAAATTTGCAATTTTTCTAAAAAATCAAAATTTCGAATAAAAATCAGCTTGAACTTCTATGTACAGTGAGAGAAAGCCAAAAATATACATCAACCAGATCTGCATTTATATTATAATTAATTTATTAACTTTATCATAGAAATCGTATATTAAATAGGTAATTCGAATAACCGTGGCTAAAGGTAGCATAAATTAAGTCAAATATAAATTAATTATTTCATTTACGATAAAACAAAGCTTTTGAAATATCAAACGAACATAAACTTGGTTTTGGTGATACTAATTAGAATATACTATACAAAATTTCAGATAAATTAAAAGTCTATTTACAAAATAAATCAATACAGATGTTCGAACAATTACTACCATAAATTCTATTCGAAAAAAAACATAGTGTAAATAAAATCAATCCAAGTCAAATGAATTAAAGCTATAACTTTTAATACGGCATGAAACCATCATAATCTGGATGTTCGAACCCACAATTTCTAACCATTACTTCAGCAAAAAAATCTTTTATTTTTCGTATTATTATATTCCAATAAGATTAGTAGACACCAAAAGTTTCATGCACAATTGGCTCATAGGGATCGGTATACAAATATGAATGCTTCGACTTTCTGATCCTATAAAAATTCGATAAAATCAGTTCGAACTTCTATGTACTAGCTGGAGAAAGAAAACATATTTTGAAACTAAAATGCTCTTTAATCCTTTTGATTAAAGTTTATATGTTGAGTCTATGGATTCCTTAACTAAAGGTAAATGGTAAATGAGATGATTACAAAGAAATAATTAAATAGGTATGTCATTTAATATTTTATTGACAAAAAATTCATTGCTTTTATTTCTATTTTAAAATCGCATTAAATAGAAATGCAGAAAGTCAACGTAGACGTCGAAATGATTTATATCTTAAGTTTGCTGATACACTATTCAAGGCAAATAATTTTATCATATTCGATAAATGCCATTTGCGGATGTTGACAAAAGGAATTACAAAAAATTTTAAAATATCAGAATGAAAATTAATGCCATTTGTGGATGTTGACAAAAGGAATTACAAGAAATTTTAAAATATCAGAACGAAAATTTAAAATTACAGCAGGAAATATTGCAATTAAAAAAATAATTGAAGACTTCAATTGTTATGAAGAAATATTGCTTAAAAAAATAATAGATGACTTTAATTGTTAATAAAAGCATCAAACTATTTTAAAAAAAGTTTAATTTAAAAAACCACATTTTAATTTATTGATATCAGCATATCTGCATTCTTTTTAATATTGATTCTTGTAATTAAAAATATTTGCTTCTCATATAATTATTTCAATTGAAATAAGAACAATTCAGTTTGGTTCTAATATTGCAAAATTTCTTTAAAATTATTTAAGTTTTGGTCCTCATACTTTAGAACTCAATTATGCAAGTATATTCGAACTACCAAATCGATAGTTTTTTAAAATTACTTTGTAACTTTTTTGAAGAAAATTTACACTTAATTTCTTGTTACGAGAATCAATATATTTGTACAAATTGCAAATATGAATTAATGAAATGCATAAGTTGCAAAAAGAATGCTGCTATGAGCCCAACAAAATTGGCATTTTATTGCGAGACATGTAATTGTGTTTTTTTGAAAGAACATGATATTAAACAACATAACAAAGCAAAACATAACTGCTAATGATAGTGACATAGCGACAATACTTTTTTGTCCAAAAAATCAAAAAATTTCATTTCCTCATTCAGGTATTTAGTATGTAAAATTTCAGCGTGAAATTTAATATTTAGATCTTCACATTTAAGTAGTTTTTTAATAATAATAAATGCTTCTTTATAATTTTTCTCTCTTTTACATCTTAAAGCTTTTAAAAACTCAGTGGCTTCATAAGAATCTTTTTTAGTTACAATTCGCTTTTTTTTCTTTGCGTTGTGACAAAAATATAAATAGCATCATTAATATTATTATTTAAATTATATTTCTTTTCATTTTTATTTCCAAAATATAGGTGATAAGATTATTTATATCATGTATTAGAGTGTTTGCGACCTTTTATTATAAAGAAATATTTTTTTCAATTGAAAATTTTAATTTCTATCACTATATTCATTTAAAATACAAATAAAATTTATTTGCATTGATTTCAGTCAAATTTAGATCAAAAACTTCGAATTTTAATTGTTTTTTGAAACAATGCAATAATTATAATTCAAATCAATTAAAAAATAATTTAAACAAATATCACTTTATTAATGATCTTGATGAAGAATTTAAATTAAAAAATTGCGGTACAAATCATGTGATTATCGGTAAAATACAAAAAAACGGCGTCTAATCCTTAATAGGACATTTTATTATCATCGATGGGATCTTATCCAGAGCATAGAACAAAAGATCTTAGTGAAAAATGGATTTCTAACTAGAGAATATCTTTTACTATGACGATGGCCACTGTCATGAGCCTTACCTTGTAAGCAATGGCTAAGCTAATTATCAAGGAAATAATATCTGTTTTTTTAGATCTGTTTTTTAAAAAAATAATGTACATTTCAATAAATAAAATAGTTAGACTTTTATAATTGGACAATTTTGCAAATATTGTTTTTAATGTCAAATTGAATTAGGTAAATATTTGCTATTGCTGTTTTTGTTATTCCTACTTATGAAATAAGTTTTTACTATTTTACGGTCGGAGCCAGTTAATAATAGTAATTGTGTCAAACGCTTTTTATATTCAATATTCTCTTTATGAGCATAATTATTAAAATACTTTATAATTTCGTTAGCAGCTCCTCTATTATATTTAAACTTAAGCAACGGCGTTATCCTTTCAAAAACGAAATAATCTTGTTTAAAAAGGTAATTTTCGACAGGTTTAAGAACATTGTAATTATGTTTTCTAAAATAATTGCTATGAATATTAAGCTGACTTGTTAATATTCTCAAGTCGTCTACGATTTCTTTTTGTCCAACTAATTTAAATACAACTGATTTAAACTCTTTTTGCAAATTTTCTGCTACTTTGATGAGCATATTAAGACATTCATAGTCAATATTACAATGATTCTCTATTGCCAACGACATATTAGCATGCTCAAGTTCATACTCAAGTTTGTATGTTTCGCTAAAATTTTATAGAAAAAAATTTTGAGATTGCAATTGAAAAGTTACATTCATTTAATCTAGTACTTTTAACAATACTGACTGCCAAAAAAGCGTTTATTTAATGAATTGAATAATTTTATAGTAAAATTTTATTCATTCAATTAAAGCTTCTACATGAAATAATCGTCCCAACTTAACAATTAGTCATTTGAATTTAACATCATATATTAAATTCAAATGTATTTAAACGAATGAATTTGACTTCAAGCGGAAGTTTTTACTAATTTAATTTTAAATAATTAAAAATCTTTTTTTGCTATAATTTGCACAATACTTGATATAATATTACTTATGAGAACTGGAGTAAATTGACTTAAAGGATTATAAATTGATCAAATCTTAGCGCGAGTATTAAATATTTAATATTTTGAATTATTGTTGACTTCGAATTTATAATTTAATCAAGTTTTAATTAGTTGTTATTTCCAAAAATCCGTATTGTTGATAAAAATTGAGAACACTAGCCTATTGTCTTCCATATTTTATAAAATTTACATTTATAATAACTAGTCCGAAAAATCTTTGAAAATGCGATAATGCTAAATTAAAAGAGTTGATTATTAATGTAATGAAGTTTTTTAATTTAATAGAAAATTCTCAATTTGACAGAAAATTCTTAATTTGATGATATTGCTGATAAATACTTGTCTCCTCATCAGTTAATTGAATATTTCTTTATCGAATTTGTGTTAACTAATATGTTTTATTGAAGGAATTAATTAAATTAGCCCTGTGCCAAAAGCAATAAATATTATTCTTATTTAAGAATTAGAATCTGAATTGATTTTTCAAACGAAATGCTTTGCAATTCAGACCTAATTTTATCATTGATGTATTTTTGGATTTTATTATTTTTGCCAATATATTTAAAGATGAACTAATGCAAATACATGGGATTAAATAAAGATCAAATTAAATAATGAAGACTTTTAATTTAATTATTTTTGTTCTTAACTTTTTAGCAATTATTCCTACCATTACGTTGTCAGCTATCCGCTTTCATTTTATTGCACCCGTTTTGCACCAAGCGCGGTTTCTTTCAACACATCAATTGCTAACATTGCGTCGCTTAAAGTTTCTGCATTACAAGGTCCATGTGCAGAAATTACCAGAACAGGAGAATTTTTAAATGGAAGCATATTTACAGTATCTCAAATGACTTATGCAGAACCATTGTGTTTAAGTGATGTTGCAAGTGTTCAGGACAACAGAGGAAGTTCTGTTTGGTTCTTGTCACCTCAAGGGTGAGTTTGGTCAGGCTTGATAACCAACCCAAATTGGAATTTATCTTGTTAAGCATTTCTTAATTTACATGAAAAGTGAGTAGATATATGTAGTTCAACTACATTTCTTATTTAGTAAATTTGCAAAATATAATTAAGTCTGAAAAATGAAAAATGTTTGTTTTGATCCAAATTCTTAAATCTAGAAATTTATGAAATTTATGAGGTATATAATGTGAAGAAAAGTAAAGAAATTAATTTTCATAAAAATTTAAATTTTGAATGCTTAATAAAATGCAACTAATAAAAGGTACACCGGGAACCTTGACCAAATAATCTATGACTGGTTATATTTATTTTATATTTATTGAATGTCATCGGCCAACACCGTACGTTTATTACTTTAACTAACTTTTTATAAAGCCCAAATATATGGAACTTTTGTAAATATCGATTTTAGATATTCATATATAAAATTTTGATTTTACAAAAACTGTTTTGAAAAAACTATTAATAAAGAAGGAAATGCTCATTATATTAACCAGCTCAATATGAAGAAACATTTAAGTAACAATTAATATCAAAAGTAAAATTGTTTGACATTTATCATACAAGAGTAAATAAAATAAAAAATTTAGGAATAATCAAAGGCTTAAAATTGATCAAATCCAAAAGAATTGTAACTATTTAAAATAATTGGATCAAAATGTAAGGTAAGTTGATCTTCATATATATTAAATGCATTTAAATTTGGTTGAGGAGGAAGTTGTAATTGAGATTTGCTAAAATCTGGCATAGGAAGTCGTTGTAAATCAGAAAGTTGAGAAACAGGTTCCCACAAAATATTAGTAATGCTTTCGTTAGTTGATTTACTTTGATTATTTTTAATTGTATAATTGACAGTAACTGGTGATGGAGAATCATTTAAATCTGGTTGAGGAGTAAGTGGTGATGGTAAATCTGGCAGAGGAAGTCGATACTTAGGAAGTGGTGATAATTTGTTTAAATCCAACAAAATATTATTAGTAATGCTTTCGTCGGTTAATCTGCATGAATTTCGTCTTCGTGACTTTTTCTTAATAAAAAATAATTATGAATTGATTGCTTTAGTAAATAAAGAACATCAATATTAATGACTACCTTTTTTGGCTTATATTTGTAACCTGGATATTTTCGTTGATGCTCAATCTTCGCTGCATTTGCAAGCCTTTCAAATTTTAATTTTATTTCTTCAGATTCAGAATTCCATTTTTGAGCTGCAATCTTAGAGACATTAGAGGTATGAAATTTATGAAATTTAAAGTCTGTCTCTTCCTTTAGCAAAGAACCTATGTGCTTCCTATATAAAATAAAAGCATTTGGAGGTCGTGGTGGAGATCGAGATAGAGAACGTTTCGAACGTCGATACTTTTGACTTTTTAGATTTTTTGGTTTTTCATTTCGAGAAAAGAGAAATGAATTAGTCTCTAGTTCATTTTGTGAATGCTCGTCTTGCATAAACATGCAACAATGTTTCTCAAAATTTTCACTCATCGAAAGAACTTTGCTTAAATTTAGAGAAACATCCATTAAATATGAAATGTATTATAAAGTCATCTCACCTACCTCCTATAAAATCATACCTTGAAAATTTTAAAATAACTGAATTACTACATAGGGGAGATGGTCTAAATTTCTATTTTTACTTCTCCTTTATCACAAATATTTAGAAAAACAGGTTTTAATTTAACTTGATTGGTAAGAGTCATTGAGATCTTAATTTTCATGATTTTTTAAGACCAATGAGGTCATCGAAAACTTAATAGTCAGGGTCATTATTGTTTTAATGTACAGATGATCTTGAGGAATTTGACAGAAGTTTATTTTTTGTCAGATTCTCAATATTTAAACAACTCCAATTAAGTTTAGTGCCTTACACTAAAAGTGATTCAATTAATTCGAAATGATTTGGTTGGGTTGTTAAAATAGAATTCATAAAATTCATAAACAAATCAAGAACTCGGTAATGTAAATAAAATTATTGAATACTGAATTAATTAAAGTAGATATGTGCTTTTAAATTTTTTAAATTATTCATTTTGTTCTTTACTTTTTGTAATAATTGTACAAGCGCTTTCTCCTACTGAACATAGGCCCGTGTGTAAAATAAAACTTTAGTTTACTCAAAAAAGAAATTAATTGAAAGAAACTAAGGAGTGCAGTTTAATTGGATGGATATGGACAAATTAATTCAACCGGCCAGCGTGCCGAAGATAAGCTAATCATTTGTCCAGTTTTTTCAAAATAATTGTGTTTGGACAATAATGATTTTCGATGATTTTCTAAACTTACGAATAATGTAAATTGTTGAAGCAATTGTTAAACTAATAAGATGAAGGTTATTCTTATTGTAACTAAATTTATCTCGAATATTAATGAGGGTTTATTTAATCACATCAAAAGAAATAATTTTTTCTATTCGTATTTCTATTCGTACATTAAGAATATAGAACCTAGATATTTAGTGAAATTAACAATTTGTTAAAATGATAAAAAATTTCTTCAATCTTTTTGATTAAAATTTTGATGTTGAATCTATGGATTCCAAAATTAAAGGTAAATAAGATTATAAAAAACTAATAAAACTTATTTTTCTAACGAAACTTATTGTATTAAAAATAATTATAATAATTGTCATTAATTTCAGATTTTACAATAGCAACGATCGAAAATTAATAAGTTATCCAATATTTAATGACTATTAGTTATAATAAATATCAGTTTGTTGCATAACTAATAATTTTAAAATAAACTACAGTTGTCTCTAGAACGATCATCACATAAAATACGTTATCCAACAAACAAAAATTTTATACAAATTTGATTTCTAATTGAAGTCGCATTAATTTAAGATAAATTATTGGTAATGCTGGTCAAATATGTAGGCCAGGTCAAATTATTTAAATTATTTATCACCTGATTGCACGATTGTAACAATTTCAAGATTTTTAAATAAATAATTGCTCTAGGAAACAATTGTTCGAAAAAGTATTGAAAGACTTTTAAGTAAATTTTGTTTTCTTGTTTTATATTTACATTTTAAGTTTTTGGATTTGTATTGCATTTTTAGCCTTTCAGACTGTAGTTTATATCTTGATTTTTCATATTCTGGCAATTTATTCCATTTATTCCCTGCAATTTTTGAAATTTGACGAGTGTCTATTTTTGGATTATCTTTAATTATTTCATCTTTTATTTCATTACGAAATAATAAAAAAGAATTCTGCGGACATTTAATTGAAGGGTTAAAAATCAATGCTGGAACACATATCCTTAATTCTGGAAATTCTTTAATTATTTTTAGTTGTTTTGTGTCATCTTCATGAATAAGAATAGGAGAGTACCCTTGCGGGATAAAAACAGTTATTCCATTATTACATTGAATATTTTGTAAAATGTTGGATTCTTCAATCGAAACGAAACTCTTAGAATCCATTTATGTAAAGTTTATTTTTTTTTAAAAAAAAAGTAAAATATTATCATAAAATTATGTGTCTAATTATAAATTTTCTTAATGGCATGGCAAAATATCGCTAAATTCTGATTTTAAGCTTAGAACAATTGAAATTTTTAGTAATTTAATTAGGTAGTTTAAAATAATAATAATTACTCTATTTCGTTATTTGCATATTGACGTTATTTAACTTAATTATTAAGCTAATATATTTAACACAAGGCACTTAATTTGGTATTATAAGCATGCATTCATGAATTAAAACTAGTCAATTAACTTTGTCTTCATATAACAGATAACAGATATTAAAAAAAAATTTTATTTATTTCCAAACATAATACGAATACTGAATTTTAGACTAATACTGGATTTTTCTAAATTGTCTTTTCTGTAATTTAAACTTTCTAATTCATTAAGTTTAATGTTTAATTAATTAGTGACTTTTTAATTTAATATTTTTATTTCTGAATGCTATTGATAAAATGGTCATCATTGTCTTGCTTAATAGACCCGTCACCCGTTAAAAAAAGTTTCTGTTAATTATATTCCGGATGAGAAAATGAAATTTTGAATATTTACAAACTATCAGCGATATGACATTTAGAGAGTGCCATTAATTGTGTTGTTTATACGATAATACCTAATTCAATCTTCAATATCAATTTAGTTTGCAATTTACAACTAAAAACAATACAATTATTAATTTAAAAAAAAAACAAAAATGTGAACATGTTTCAAAAATCCAACACTAATGTCTCTAATTTATCTAATAAATCACTTAGAAAATTTACGGCAAGTGGCTCATTTTTTAAAAATAAATTTAGAAACACCGCTATTTCAAAAAGATGGAATAGATGAAAGAAATGGTTTAATAATGTTATCAAAAGAAAGTGCAGTCCAGGAAGTAAAATTTATTATTAAAACAAGAGTAAAGAAAGCATTTTCAAAAGAATCGCTTCGAATAAAAATAATAAAGAAAATAGATAATCGAATGAACAATATACTTCAATTAGATGAAGAGCTAAAAATAATCAAAGAATTAGAAGAAATAATCTATGAAATAGATAATGAAAAACTAAACCTAAACTATCAATTTATGTGTTATATAAGAAGAATTCTAATTACAACATCAAATTGAACTTTAACAATTTGTTTTTTCTTTGATTAAAATTACAGATTTACCTTTTAATCCTTAATAAATTAAAAATTTTAATGTTAAATTTTTCATTTCAAGCCATAATTGGAGAAACTTTGGTTCATAATTTTCAATAGATACTAATCTTTCATATCATAACTTACAAGATCCTAGACGTAAATCGCTATTACTCTAATCGGCCATAAAATCTTAATGCTAGCCCACTTTAGTAAATTATTTTAATTTAATGCTAAAATTTATCATACTTTTGCAAGAGAACTGGCAAAATTAAGCTTGAAGAAACATGTATACAGGGAAATCGCGAAAAATATTCAGGTTATCACACCAAACTTCGAGGTTATCATGCCAAACTTCGAGGTTATTATACTAAACTTCGAGTTTATCACATCAATTATTAATAAATTATGTGTGATACATCGAATTTGATGTGATTTTCTCAATTAAAAAATATGAAATTTAAATTTAATTACTTAAAAATAATTTTAAATTCATTACATTTTTTCTTTGCAAACTGATGTCCCACTTCTGCAGAAATTCTAAATAATTCTTTAGCTTTTCTCTATCTATTTTCAGTTCTATCGTAATAAAATTGTACTAATAAACACATTGATCCGAATGATTTTTTTGACATCACCTTTCTAAATATTTTAAAATTTCTTCACATCTTTATCATCATCCAAAAGTTTTGTGTACATTAACCCAGCCATAATTTGATTGTTATAATCAGAATCATCTGCTAATTTCTTAAACATTGTTTTAGCAATATTATCACATAGGTTAAGTTCTTCTCCAATCAATTACTAAAATTTTCTAAAATTTGTGATCTTATTTCATCTTTTAAAATTTCTGATTGGTTGAATCAACAATTTCTTTTTTGAATAATTTATTCTTAAATAATACATTGAACCATACCATGATGGAACTAACAATACGAAAATTTTCTCAATTGTTTTATAAGTTTGTTAAATATTCATCAAAGAAAGTTATATCAAAATTATTAACGTTTTCTGTAACTGATTTATGATAAATAAGAGGATATTTTATGTTATCAGAATCTGTATACTTATCTGAATTCATGAGTTTAAAAACTACACTGATTTTTGACTTTGATGGGTTATTAGTGGTATGGTTTAAATTCTATCTTCTAATTTGTATCTCAAAATAATGTTAACTTAAATGTTTATAAAAATAAATTAAGAACTCTGAAAAGGAGTATTTTCAAATTATATCAAAGATATTTAAAACCTTTCAAGTCGATTATAAGTGGTCCGATCATGCTGAACAGTTAGGCAAGACAAGACAAGAATCAAATACCATACTTGTCAACATTATAAATGAAAAGATTATAAATAAATCAAAAAGAATTAAGGTTGATGATTTCAAGAAAATCAGAAAAAAGTTTATACCTAAATTTAATGATCTAGAATTGATACCTTATGTTAAAGAATTTGTTGAAAATTTACATAAAGCAGGAGTCAAAATTGTTGTGAGTATAAATAAAAATAACTTTGATTTTTTTTATCAGTTAATCAAATATTTTTATTTAATAGATCGCAACAAATTCAAGCCGTGATGAATTTGAAAAAAAGACAACAAAGTTTATTGATTTTATTTCTATTTTTGATGAAATATTTTGTGGCGATGATGTTGAAGTGACCAAATTTGGCTATAACAATAAGTACAAAGCTGTTTTAAATTATATGAGTTTATCTCCCAAAGAATGTTTAGTATTTGAAGATTCACCGCATGGTGTGTATCTAGCATCATCGCAAAACATAGACGTTATATGGGTTCAGGATAAACTAATGAAAGAGTACTTTGAGTGTAATCATAAAGATCTTTGCGAACATGATAATGTGCATATTTTCAGTTCTTTTAAGGACAATCAGTTGCTTGTTGATCAAGAAATTCCTTGCATTACTTTTTGTATTTGTGATTTATATTTTGATTTAAGCAGATATAAACAAAATAGATAGAATCATGAATGTTTAAGATTTAAATAATTCTTTCTTCCCCACTCTAATGACTTGAAAAAATTTTGGAAAATTTATAATTTTTTTTTCAATAACCAATAAATTTTACTTTAGTGTTTTTGATGCTTACCGATTTAAATTTGAATAACGAAAGAATATGATATTTTAAAAAGAGGTCACAAATCCATAAATAAAAAAGCGTTGAACTATTGTTTTTTTTTTATTATCGCATTTTCGTTGTGATTATAAATGAAGCTTCTTTTTACCTGGGTCAATAATGTGATGGGTCACGGGTCAAATTTGGTCTAACATTGGTCAAACAGGTCAAAAATTAAATGTGCAAGACTTTATTAATTTGTATTCTCACTCAATTACGATGCCAGATATTAATTAATATTGTTATGTACATATAAAATAACTGCCAGATATTAATTAAATAAAGAAAATGTTTTTAACCAAGTTCTCCAACTAATATTATTGTTTGTATCGTCCTCTAAATTAACAGTTGTTAAAATTGGTTGACATTTACAGTATAATGTAAACATATAAAAATTTAATGAATATCAAAAGGCTTAAAAATTGATCAAATCCAAAGAATCATAACTATATGTGCCTGTTAAATTAATTAGAACTTCAAAGAGAAGTTGATCATCATATATAGTAATTGTGTTGAAATTTGGTTGAGTTGGAAGTAGTGATGATAGAGTTTTGCTTAAATCTGGCATAGGAAGTTGTGAGATTAAATCTGGCTGATGAAATGGTGATTCAGCTTTGTTTAAACTCCACAAAATATTAGTACTTTGTTTATTATTAATTGCGTTGTTTAAATCTGGCTGAGGAAGTTGTGGTTGATACTTAGGAAGTGCTGATACAAGCTCGTCAGTTAATTTACTTTGCTTATTATTTCGTCTTTGTAACTTTTTCTTAATAAAAAGTAAATGTGAATTGGTTGCTTTATTAAATAAAGAACATTAGTATTAATACTTGCCTTTTTTTTTGGCTTAAATTTGTAATCGGGATATAATCGTTGATGCTCGACCTTCACTATATCTGCAAGTCTTTCAAATTTTAACTTTATTTCTTCAGATTCAGAATGCCACTTTTCACCTGCAATCTTAGAGATTATAGAAGTATGAAATTTATGAAATTCAAAGTCTGGCTCTTTTTTTAACATAGAATATATGTGCTTCCTATATAAAATAAAAGCATTTAGAGATCATGGTGGAGAACTTTTCAGTCGATTCTTTTTTTGACTTTGTCGATTTTCATTTTGATCACTTTCTGAAAAGAGAAATGAATTGGTCTCTAGTTCATTTTGCATAAACATGTAACAATTTTTCTCAAAATTTTTACTCATTGCAAGAACTATGCTTAAATTTAAAGAGAAAACACCATTAAATATGAAATGTATAATACAGTCGTCATCATCTACAGTCACCTCCTATATAATCATACCATGAAATTTTTAAAATAAACTGCATTACTGGAAGATGGTTCTAAATTTTTTTATTTTATTTTTCCTTTATCACTACATAGTATCATTGAAAATTGGAAAACAGATTTTTATCAATTTTTTATTAACTTGACTTGATTGGTAAGAGTATTTGAAATCTATTCTGCATGATTTTTTTTAAAACCAATGAGGTCATTGAAAAAAACTAATAGTCAAGGGTCATTATTATTGTTTTAATATACAGTTGATCTTGAGGAGTTTGACAGAAGCTTATTTTTTGTCGGCTTCTCAATATTTAAACAGTCCTAATTTAGTTTAATGCCCTACACGTTAAAAGTGATTAATTAATTCAAAATGATAGGATTGGGCTGTCAAAATAGGATTCATAAACAATTGAGAACTTGTATAATGTTCTAAGGGAAAATTCTTTTACCCACTACTTAAAATTATTGGCTGCTATTTTTAAATATTCATTTTGTTCTAACTTTTTGGTAATAATAATTGTTAATTTTGCGATTTTAAAGGCCCGTGTGTAAAATATAGTGAATCAAAAAAATAAATTATTTTAAAACTTTACTCACCCAAAAAAGGTTAGTTTACTATAGCTAATAATTAATTATTCGCTCCTTTATAGAAAATAATAATCGTTAAGAAACTAGAGAGCGCAGTTTGGTTGGGTGGCATGACGATGAATCCGTATGCAACGGTTAAATTAATTCAACCAGCAAATGAACACGTGCCGCAAAGTGGCACATGTCAGCCAATCATTGTAATATTTGGTTAATTAAACTAAATCTCGATCTTCCCATTGTTTAACTAATTACTAATCATAGTACGAAACAATATGATTTTCTTAAGTAATATTTGCTTAACAGGATAAGAGTTAACCCGTAAATCGTCAGGAAAGTATTGAAGCAATTGTTAAACTAATAAGATAAAGGTATTCTAATTAAGAATTTGGTTGTAACTATATTTATCGCGAATGTTAATGAGGGTTAAATTACAAGTGTCTTATTCTATAATTATCTCTATTCATACTTTAAGAATATAAATTCAGTTATTTATTTTCATATAGTCATGTGATCTTTAAACAAGTACATTTATACAAACAAGCTCAACTTTACACTGGGCTATTTGCCCTAATTCTAATTTACTAAACAACCTGATACATAACTCTATAC